TCCTCTTTTCTGCTGAGCCTCTATTTTACTAACATTGTATTTTCCACAGACTGACCCCTTTTGATAATATGCCCAAAGTGTGTGAGACCAAGTCTCGTCAGGCTGGCTTTTAAGGGCATTCTCTGGCTTTATTTCTTGCAAAACTAGAGCTCCTTTAGAATTCTACAAAGAGAACCAAAAAATTAATTACATTTAAAGGGACGAAAAACAAAACAAAAAAAGCCCTTTGGAAAAGCAGTAATATCAGCTGATTTGGCTGGGATTTTACAAATCAAATGGGATAATAAGCAATGAATAGCTATGAGTCATCTACAACTCAGTAGCACCTAACAACAATAACAATGATGACATAGAGAAAGCTACGTCAGCCTAGTGGACAGAAAGTTATGCTACCAAGCCGAAGGTGGGTGATTTTAATCTGCGGCCCTCAGGCCGGGTTCAAATTGTTTTCCTATCAAACATTCTTCTAGGTCGTATAGCATTGGTCTGTGCATTGCTGTATAGAGGTAACTCGTGGTTGCTGTGATGCTGAAGACTGTGACAGTGATGTACCAAACGTGGTAATGGTTACCCATGGTGGACAGTGTTGGCTGGAGTTTCCCGACTAAAACAAGCCTGGAAGCAGGAGCGGCATCCACTTCCAAAATGGTTTGCCTCCGGAAACTCTATGTACGAACAGTGCTCAGGCCTTAAGTTCATAGGGTCGCTATGAGTCGTCTATGACTCGATGGCACCAAACAACAACAACAACAGGTTAGTAGCAGCCTTCTTCTTTAGGTAGAAACCTTTTGGCTCCAGAGTGAGTCTGCATAGCACCCGGACACAGGCTCTGGCTGAACCACCCAAAGGAACATAGTTTGAACGCACCAGCTGCTTCGTGGGAGAAAGATGGACAGTCTCCTTCTGTGAGACTTACAGCCTCTAAAAAACTGGAGGATCAGCTTCGAGTTGGTTCTGACTATGGTACATAACAACAACAAACATTCATTCTAATAAGAGGACTGCTCTTGTATCTACCTATGATCAGTTCTGTACTTATGCCATCTGAGTGGGAATGCCAGTATTAGCACTTGCTATGTGACTCTGAGCCTCAGTTTTCCTCATTTGCAAAACGGAGATGATACTCCTGACTAGTCATAAGATAATGTGTGTAAAGTGCTCAGCACTGTCTAGATGTTGTTAAGTGTCAAGTCAAACCTGACTCATAGCTGACCCTCCAAAGAGTTTTCAGAGGCAGTAAACCTCATGGGAAGAGACTGGCTATTCTTCTCACATGGAGCAGCTGGGGGATTTGAATTGTGTGCCTTTGGGATTGTAGTACAGCTTCATACCATGAGGTCACCAGAGCAAGCAAAAAATGTCATGTGTTATTACCAACTGAAAAATTCACCAAAGATTTTAAAACACCTTCTTATCTATCCTCTAAGCAAGCAGGTACCCTTGTGTCACACAGGGGAGAACTAGGGGCTCGATGGCATTGCTGGGCAGAAAAGGGGAGCTCTGACTCTGGGTTCAGGAGCCCCTTCCATAGCTAATGCTCTTAAAACTCTCTGTGATTCTTGTGAAGGGAACAAGTCTGTTGCACTCGAGGCCCTGGACCCCAGAGAGTAGGGCAGCCATTTTTATGTCAACAGAGTTGTAATCTGTTATGACACTGAGTAAAAGGAAAGGGACGCTGAGGCTTTTGCCACTTGCCCTAAACAAAGAGGAAGTGGTTGGTCTGGGTCTTTAATTTAAGGCTGGTGGGAGGCAAAGCAGGAGGCTTTATCACTGGGCCAGCTCAGTGTGGTAGTGGGGTTGCAGCCTCTCCTGAGGAGCATCCCAACTGCTGGGGCCATGTTCAAGCCCAGGCTTGGGATTTAAGACATGTCTGGTCTTTGAGCCACATTGTAGCTCTGTGACGTGGGATAGGTGGCTAAATTTTCTGAGCCTTATCTAAAAAATAGTGTTGTTGCTGTGAATCTAGAAACTTCTGGTGGTATAATTCATAGGGAATTTTCCCACTAGCTCAAAGGCTATGCCTCTCTAGCAGTTTGAAACCACCAGAAGTTCCTGGGGAGAAAGATGAGCAATCTCCTGTGGTGCAATCTGCGTCTGACTCCATGACAAGGAGACTTGTGAATCTAACATGAGATTGTTATGTGCTGTTGAGTCAGAAGCAACTCACTCTCCAGTGGATTTTCTGATGCTGTAAATCACAAGGGAGGACTGCCCATCTTTCTCCCTTGAACAGCTAGTGGACTCGAACTGTATGCCTTTGGGTTGGCAGCGCAACTCCTTACTGCTAGGCCACCTGCACTAACATGAAACACATTAGTTAAAATGCTTAGCACCATGCCTGGTCATCACTGCTGCAGACTGACCAAGCATCCTTGGGCTCTAGGGCACTTTCTGTTTGGTTAGAGCAAAGCTTTTAGAAACTCAGCTGGTGGGGAAGGAGTAGATGGCCTGCCTGGTTTTTTAGAAGGGAAACATGTGTTTTCCTACCAGACATGTGAAGGACTAGAATCTGTGCAGACTTGTTCCTTCTCAAAGGAGGCAACTATCACCAAGATAGGGTCCCACCTTCCCCCCCGCCCCAATTTGGCAGGGGTTGTCTACGGCTGGTAGAAAGGGTCAGAGAAAGGAGAGATGATATGACTACCACTCTAACTGGCATGCTGATCCAGGAAAATCCATTCTTACAAAATTAAACATTTCCCCATTTACCATGTCAGCTCCCCCCCTGGGTCTTTGTCAGGGCTTCTGTATCTGTAAGGAGTTGAGCTTCATTGCTATAACATAATCCTTCTATAATAACTTGATTGGTTCTGTACCATCCTCAAATCAAGAGGCAGATAACAGTCCGGGCTGATATTTTTGGTTTCCACAGAATCTTCAAGAACCTGGGTTCCCTCTCCTTTCCTGCTCTATTCTCTATAGTGTGTGACTTCTAGTCTCAGTGTCACTTCGTGATCCAAAGATAGGCTGCAGGAGCTCCAGCCATCACACATAACAATCCAGGGTTAGGTTCAGACTTTAACAAGAAGCGAAGAACAGCCAGAGGTGTACTTCCCAGCTGAGTCAGCTCCCTTGGAATCAGTTCTACATACCTCTCATTTGCTGGAATTTAGTAATTTGATCAGATATAGCTTCAGAGTGGGTTTTGAGTACTCATTCCTTCCGCTGATAAAAAATGTGGGTTCTACTGGTAAGGTAAACCAGTTGTTGTGAAGTTGATTCCAATGCATGGTGACTCTAATGTGTCAGGGTGGAAATGTGCTCCACGGGGTGTTCAGTAAGCACCAGGTCTTTCTTCCAAAGCACCTTGGGGTAGACATAATCCAACTTTTTGTTAAGCAGCCAAGTATAGGAAACCATTTGTCCCAGCTGAAAACCATGGATGACAGAAGAAGAACTGATGCCTTTGAGTTGTGGTGCTGGCGAAGACTGCCAAGAAAACTTACAGGTCCGTCCTGGAGAGAGTGAAACCAAGCTTCTCTGTGGAGGCAAAAAGTTTTAGACTCTATCTGACATACTTTGGGTATATAGCCAGGAGGGACCAGTCTTTAGAGAAGGACATCATGCTTGGAAGGGCTAAGGGGCAGTGCAGGAGTGGAAGACCCTGGATAAGATGGACTGACACAGTAACTGGGGTATTGAGGGTAGGTGTGTCAGAGACAGTGAGATTGGCTCAGGATAAAGCAAGGTTCAGAGCTATTGTGTACAGGGTCGCTATGAGTCATAGTCGACTCGAAGGCACATAACAACTACTCCATTATGATCACATATTAGTTAACTACATTTGCAAATATCCTATCCCCAAATAAATGCATATTCACAGGTCCCTAGACTTCAATGTATCTGTGGAGATTACATTTCTATCCCTAACAGCTACTTCTTCTTTGATGCCTTGACAAATGACTAATCTCCCAAGCACGAGCCTAATAACTAATCCCTAATAACAAAGCTACTGTCTCATTTTATACTGAAGATTTAATCTGATAAAATAACAGACTAGGCAAGAATATCATGCAAAATGAAAGGAGAAGGGTCAAAAAGGTTTTCCATTGGCCAGGGTACTTTGGTCATGGTACGTGTCACAGTCAGTGGGTGTATGCCTTGCAGGATCAGAAAAGTTCACAGAATTCTGGAGAAAAGGGCTGTGCTAAACCTGGCTGGGCGGGGGAGCGGAAATCGGGTTTGAGGTCAGAGAAGAAAGGGTGTTGTCAGGGGAGTCTTTATGGAAGCCCCAAGCCCGCACGGCAGGACTCTCTTCTCTCTGTTCTGGTTAACAGCTCCAGCTCTGGGCTCTGTTTATCTCCAGGTGGTGACTGAGTTTAAAGGCCTGCGGGTGTGCTTCCTCTCTTACGGTGAGCACTGAACTACTTCACAGAAGTAGAGTCTTGAAGCAGCAGTCTGGACTGAGGCATACTCCTCTCCTCCCCTGGCACCAGCTGAGATGCAGAGAGGAGGGGCGGGCAATGAATTTGTGAGATGGTTTGTGAAGTGTTTGGCATCTGGACAGTGAGTCCTGCTATGCGCTGAGTGGCGGCCAACCCTGTTGCCTTTCCAAGTGAAAACGTGGCTTCCTGTCTCTGATTCTAAATAGAGTTCTTTACCAGACAAACGCTCAGTGCTTGAAAAGGGAGTTGTTATTCTTCTGTGGGAAAAAATAAAGGGGGCAGGCCTGGTACTGCCCGGAGATACATTGGCATTGTCAAACAAGCAGGCTTTGACAGAATGAGGTCTGGGGCTTATAGCACAGGTTATGGAGGCTATGAGGAGTATAGTGGCCTCAGTGACAGCTATGGTTTCACCACTGATTTATTTGGAAGAGATCTGTTACTGTCTGTCAGGAATGTATGATCACAGATATGGAGACAGCGAGTTTGCTGTTCAGAGCACAACTGGACACTGTGTCCACATGAGGGGGCTTCCATACAAAGCGACTGAGAATGACATTTATAACTTCTTCTCTCCACTCAACCCTGTGAGAGTGCATATTGAGATTGGCCCGGATGGAAGAGTA